TTATGTATAGTTTACAAAGGTTTAATAAAGCACACTTAACTAACCTGACAGAGGGTTATTTAAAAAAAAAAAAATAACTAATATTTCTAAAATTAATTTTCAATCTTTATATATAATATAAAAATAAAAATAAAAAAAAATTGACAATATACTATATTTTTATTTACTAGAAATTTTAATCAGAATAATATTAATGGAAAAAATTAATAATGTAATTATATATTAATTATAATTATTTGCATATACTGTATATTTTATTTATATTTTTTAATGGTTTATTACATTAATTTTTTATTTTATTATATATAGAATGATAAGTATTTTAATTGCAACCAAACAAGAAAAGAAGTTTAATTTAAAAAGATAAGCTAATCATATTTTTTGTTTGTTTATATAAAATATCAAATATAAATGTTTAAATAAAATAATTAGCAAGACTATATCGTAAATATTAGTAGTAATCTTATGAAAAAGATGGCTATTGCAATTAAATACTGTATTTATAAGATTATGGGAATATCCATAATTAGATTAACCAATTGATTTTAATATTAAAAATAATGATCTATAAATAACCCTAAATAAAGTAATAAATGAATAAAAGCACTTCTAAAAAAATAAATAATATATAATATTTTTTGTCAAGAAAACCACATTTAGTAAACTGATATTTATTAGATTATGGATAAAATCCATTCTTTATGACAACCCTATAATCCGCTTCTATAAGAACTCTCTTTAAGAATGCCAAATTTCTAATAATACTCATTTGTTGTCCCCTAGAATTTAAGTAAAATACTTTGACCAACACACAAATAATTGCCTTTTCTAATAAGTGTGCCTGTGTATCTCGGCGACATTATTGAAATAAATACTTGTAACTTATTTATGAATATGTTCGTAGCTTTATTTTTTTAAATATATGGCCAAACCTACTTTATCAAATGCATCAAAACTTACATAATCTAAATAATTCGATAAAACGAGATACTTATATAAATCAATAATAAAAATATATAAATAAGAGAAAAACAACTCCTGTATAAAAATAGCAACGGTTAAAATTAGACTATTCTAAATATTAACGGACAACGTATGTAGTAATAAAAGTAAATAAATTCTTGTATTAATTTCTTGACCAGACATTAACCAGACACTAACCAGATATTAAATAGCAAATTGTTGCATAAAAATCGTCTAGAAATCATCAAGAAGCTTAGTTTCCATTCTAAGACGTTGAGTTTGAAGGTCCCGGTTCTCCGTCTAACCGTAAAAAATATATTTATTTTAGATTATGTGAAGTTTATTATTTCCTTTTATATTTCCTTCCTTACCTCGTGGGTAACTTTTAACTGACCCTTTCTTTTTACTATTGAAATAAGAATCGCTAAATGCTAATAATAAAGATAGTTATTAAAGTTATTCGATAAATCGCGTATAACGATTATTATTACCTTTTGAAATAATTAATTCATATTGAGAATCAAATTCTGTATAATAAGCATTAAAATACATTTTAGCATTATAAAATATTATTTTCTCTTCAGAAATTAATTCATTACCTTTTTGTTCCTCTGTGAGTCAGGATTGCATATATATTATATATTAATAAAAGATATTAAAGCTGAAGAATTTCAATATCATACGCTTACCCAAAGTAGCATTTCTTGGCACGGGCATATCGGAAAACGAGTGAATCTTGCTCGTTTGACCGCAATATGGGTTCGATTTTTGGATTGTGATCGAATGTTGTTTATTCTTCCTTTTTGTTATTTTATTAATAAAAAAATCCAACACATATGTTCTGGAAGGTCTAAGTTGGATTTTATTTTGTTGAGATTCTTCTTTGTACGCTTCCTTTCGTAAATCTCGAAATCTCCTATTAATCGTATCTAAATCTGGTCTATTTTCAGGGATTGCATCCCAACATTGTTTCATTATCCGAACATATTCCGCAGGAATATTTTGATAAATCTTTGGGCGTATACCGCTAATAATTGCTAGGGCCAAATCATGATTGTGTTTAATATAATTAAACGGGACTTCTCCGGTTGCAACCTCCCACATTAAAATTCCTAAGCTATATATATCTGACTTTTGTGTGTGTTGTTTACCACGTAGTACCTCTGGTGCAATGTAAGGGAGGTTTCCATAAATTTTATTTAATGGTTTATCTACTGACCCACAAAATCCCATATCGCTAATTTTATAGCCATTTTGAGTTGCATCGTATAATATATTACCAGAATGTAAGTCTCTATGCACTGCATTTTTTTTGTGAATTTTATACAGACTAACTGATAAATGTCTTAGTATCTGATATTTCTGCTTCCAAGTATTTGATAAATGATTCTCCATTAAATAATGTCTTAAATCGCTAGAAAACAAACATAAAACAAGCATATAATCTTTGCTCAGGGGATCTCGGGTTAATCCATAGCATTTGGCCAAATATTTCGAAGTATTATCAAGAGTAAATTGCGATTTAACCTAATTAATTAAAATAATATTATTATATAATGCTTAAAAATATTAAAGCAAACGAATTAACAAACCTCTTGAAACCATTCACCACTACTATTAGCAGAATTTTCTAACCTTTTCAATATAACTTCATGTTGACCGAACCTTTCTAGCGAATGTTTTTTACTATTCCATCTATAATAACAACCATCCTTCCAGGTTGCATTATAAATTGTAGAACATCCTCCCTTTTTTTTATATGTTACATCCTGAAGTTGTTCGTATCCTATCCATTCGACTATATACTGCGGTAAAACGGACTTAAGTTGACATCCTTGAATCAATCTATCTATTTCATCATTTCTAGAAGACCAATTTCTAAAATTTTTTTCTAGAAATTTTCGAATGCATAATTCACAGTACAATGTTGCATGACACCAACCTTGGCATTCATCACATTGTCGTTTGTCATAGCAATATTGAATTCTGTAAACATCATAATGTTGTTGAAGTCGAAAAGACAAACTATTTTTTTCTGAATTGGTTAGTGATAAATCATTCTGAAATAGTTGACGTATATAATCTTCTTTTTGGCGATATGTCGGGTATTTATCCTTGTCTAAATATACAAATGCCTTTTCCCAAGCTTTATTTGTATTTTTATTATCTATAATTTCATCGTTATGCATCTAAAATAAAAACACATTTACTATATAATTTAATAAAAAATTCGTGAACATGCTGTATTGTTTAAAAAAATTATACTTTAAAGATATTTTACTACGGTAAATATTAATGGTGTAAATTAGAATTTTTTTCGAATGATTTTTTAGCGATTAAATATGCATAAGTTCTGTATCACAAAAAAATTCATTGCGCATATGTGATCAGAGTACTGCATTTCGCACCAGAGAGTACGTAATGTATTACGCACCCGGGAGTACTGTATACTTTTTTATCATTTATATAAAAAATTGCAAAATTGACTCGTACACAAAAATACTTAGGTCAATTAATATATGTATAAATCCAGATCCTTTATTCTGTAATTATTAATATTAATACGTATGCATACACGTTTAAATAATTATTTAAATAAAATAAATCTAACCTTTGATTTCGCTTATCTATAGTAATGATACAATAAATTTTTTTGTGATATTATCACAGCAATAAACTTGAACATATTAAAAATCAATCAAGTTTTTAAAAAATAAATTTAATTTAAAACGAAACAACTCATGTATTTAAGTGAATTTAGTACAATTTTAAATTGAATTGAATTCTAAGAAATAAACTTATGTACAGTATATACTGTACGTATACTTACATTAACAACCCCCAATTACAAAAAATAAAATACATAAAGACGATATGTATGATACGTAATTTTAAATTAATTCAAACCATTCTATAAAAGCATTGCATTTATTTATTTACTTAATACAAATAACTAATGAATAATATATAAATATCTGAATTTAATAAGTACGAAAAAAAAAATCAATTAATATAATAAATTAAAATTCGCGTAGCAACTTGGTCGCCATTGTGTTACGTTGAAACGTAATCATATGACTAAAGTTCGGCCCGAAAGTGATACAGCACTAACCCTTTTTACAAATCTTGTTCAGCCTAACTTCTTTGTCAATAAACTACAAAAAAGCATGGTGGTACGTATTTCGATGCTCGATGACCTTTTTTAAAATAAAAAAACCTTTGACTTAATTTAAAATCTGAAATTTAATTTTTGTACACAAAATGATCCTATTTGTAATGTACGTAATTGGAATTTTTTAATATCTTCTGTACGCATGGAATTTTGCGAAATTTCCTTCCTACAGTATACCTCCCTCTCGAGAAAAGTGAAATGGTTTCTAAGTTCTTGACATTCATTATCTTGCCGATTTAATTGATTTCACTAAAATTTCAAAAAAAAAAAAAAAAAAAAAAAACTCCAGAGGTGCATAATATTTCGGAAATGACCACATTCTTTGTGAAGATTTACGTATGACAGCGCTAATTATGAAGCTTTCGACCTAGGTACGTATGCGTGTAACGTGACTTGTGAATAGGATGGATCTACATCACTTGACATTACGTACGTATTTTTGTTCATCTTCACGATTTTTTGAACACATGAAGCCCATTCAGGAAAATACAACAAAGTTTTAGACGTCGCCATCGATACTTGTCATGTCGCCTACGCTCTCACATTTAAATTTGCACAAGTATATGCTACCGATCTCTCCCGAACCATGCTCTCTAATGCGCTACACACTCCAAATATTCGTTATTCGGTTTCGACCGCAGATCTTTCACAATTTATATCTTCAATGTTTGACCTTGCTACCATTGGACAGGCAGCGCATTGGTTTAGAATCCAAGAATTTTTTAACGAGGCGAATATAATTCTGATACCAAATGGCACATTGGTCATTTGAGGATACAAGTTTCACGAGTAAAATGTTTCGAAGTTTAGTGATGGGCATGTGGATAATGAGTTAGGAAAATACTGGGAGGATGGAAGGCTGGTGATGAATGATTTAAACCAATCGTTCATATTACCGGAGACCTTATTCAAGGACATTAAAGTGCAGAGGAAGGAAAAAGGAAATGAAGAGTTGATAATTGAAATAAGAATGGGGCACCAAACAAATTATCAATTATATGAAGGTGATTTTTTAATAACGGCGAAGATGATGCATATAATTTTACTAATTGATTTCCTTTATAATCTTTTATAAAGACGTGGAGTGCTTATAAAAATTTCTTGGTCAATAATAAATCATGATCTGGTTGATAATTTGATCGGTCGAATGAAACAAGTCGAAGGGTTGTATCAAGGTCAAAAGTTTCAAATTAGGTGACCCTTGGTTTTGATTTTTGCCGCGAAAAGGGGATGAATGTTATACGTTCTAATGTTCCATTCAGATTCATGTATATTTTAATATTTTAGTTAAATATAGTATAATTCGTGATGACTTTGAAAGTATTTTGGATAGTACGCACCATACAAATAAACATATTTCTTCAATTAGCGCAAAATATGTATGTATATGAAGTTTGAAGTTGATAAAAGAACGTTTTACATGAAATATACTGCATACGGGCAACTCTCGATAAAAGAAAACGTATTCATTGTATGACAAATACTATATTTTGTCATATTGAATGTTACATTTGGATAGGGTTATCATAAAAGAAACCCTAGGTATGATTCCCATTTGATTTACCGAAATCACGTGAAATCACGTGATTATCGTAGCTCTGACGAAATCTCCGCAAATTTTAAAATTTATTTTTTTTACAGTATACATAATAATTTAATTTAAAAACTTTATATAATTCTAAAGCTTAAATTTTATACTTTATAATAATTATTTAATATTTTA